AGATTTAGCCTTGATATGCATCCCTTGTGATACATTGATGTGCTAGTTTGTGGTAGATTTAGCTTAGAAATTTATCCCTGGTGATACATGGATGTGCTATTTTGTTGTAGACTTAGCGTTGAAATTTATCCCTGGTGATACATGGATGTGCTATTTTGTTGTAGATTTAGCCTTGAAATTTATCCCTGGTGATACATGGATGTGCTAGTTTGTAGAAAGAGGGCAGAGGATACACAGATTTTATCCTTCCTTTAATAAAGTTGTGTCTTGTGACATAGAAGACTTAGCATTGAAACATCACCATCCTATCATACAGTCATAGTGTCAGGATAAAAATGGCATCACACTGTTGATAGGGGTTATATAATCCATGGTACTGGTCATACATGACATATAACATCATTCTGCTGAGTATGATATAGTCCACATTACTTGTCATACACAACATATGTATGACATCATATGCCATTCATAGTTAAATCTTACATGGTTCAGGTCATACGTTACATAGATATGAGACAAAGTACTAGTCATACATGACATGTGGATGTGGCATCAAAATGGTCATACATGACATGTAGATGTGGCATCAAAATGGTCATACATGACATGTAGATGTGGCATCAAAATGGTCATACATGACATGTCAGTTTGACACCACATGTCATTCAGGGTATATTGCCCTTGGTTCTGTCATACATGATATGTAGATATGACGTCACACTGCTGAAGGTTGTATAGTCCACAGAACTAGTCATACACGATATGTAGATATGAAAGACTGATTTTTCAAGTTTTGATATGGTCAGATGGATGATATTACTAATTATCATAGAAAAGAATGCCAGTCTAATCTCTTAAGCTAACTAACCTTGATTGATTTTAATGTGGAAATCAAGATTCATAGAAAATCCATCACATTGTTAAGACTTTGCCCATTCAACTCCCTTGCCTGGCACCCTCAGTATGTGGATATGTCAAGGCTACCGACAGCTTGCAGTAATTATAAGGATAACACACCATCATGACTGGGGAACCAAATTCCAAAACCACTCAATATTTCCACTGATGTACAAATGGTTCTAAAAATCAAGAATGCAGGTTGCCTCATAGTACCACCAGAATACCTATGTTTATTAGTGAGACACTGCCTAGTGATAGAAAGAGTAAAAAAAAACACATCACCAACCAACTATATTTCACATGTGCTTCTTGGAAATTGAAGACAAATATTTTCAAGGTTGATATGGCTGTTACCTTGTATAGCAGCTAAACAGCAGAAAAATTTAGCTTCAGTTTTGTGTGCTTTCGGAAAATTAAACCGTACTCTCTTCAATATCTTTTCAGCCATGTACCAGCTGGTCTATGTAGACAGCCAAAATATTTTGATGGGAATTTATTATTATGTATAAAGATGAGATCTTCCTAGGCCTGGTTCCTGTAGGATGTCTCCATATCCCTGTATACCTTGGCACTGGTTACATCACCTTATGCTATAGAGCCAATCTATTCTGGAGATAATGGAGTAAACCTTTGCTGTTAAGCCAACATCTGCTGGTCTTTTTAACTGGCATATTTTTCCTGTTTCCAAACAATCACAACAAAGTCAAAGAGAGTGTGTCTCAGTTAGCTGTATATAATATCATTAGGTTTCTTTAGGTGCGGAGTCTTTCATCTCTGCAAAAAATAGATACTGTATATACACACATACCGGTGGGCCACACTTACCCCATTTCTTACACACGTGTAAACCACGAAGACCTATCAGGATGGTCGTGGATGTGTAGTGTACCCTGGCTCAGTAACTGATATCAATTTTCATATATGTATTGTTGGAACAGCTTTATCTCGTTTATCAAATCAGAAATCCTTACAAGCAAAAGGTTGAATTCAGAATTATAATATTATAATATTTTGTCACAAGGGATTGTTTGACCTCTGTTTGGTACTTCTTTATCATAAGGCCTCTGTTCAATAAAGTTTCCTTTTCTTTTGCCTCATTGGATAAAATTACTGCATAACTGGGATTTTAGGTCATCTGACCATAAGGGTCGTGATATCCTATCGTCAGTTGTCATATGCTATCTTTTGTTCCGTAAACTTTTCCATTAAAACACTGCTTCTGCTTAACGCCTGAGCAGATTTCAACCAAATTTGGCCTGGATCATCATTCTGGAGGGGAATTATTGCTAATTTCAGAAAGTTTATTGGACCCCTAAGGACTTAGGGACGAGGCCCTTAATGGATGAAGTTAGGCAAGTTTTTGCATAAGAATGCTACTCCTTCTTAATGCTGGGCTCACTTCCAACCAAATTTGGTCTTAATCATCCTAGTGAGTGGGAAATCATTTCTTAAATTCAGAAAGTTGATTTTACTTCTAGTGACCTTGGGGGCGGGGTCAAAAATGTAAAAGTTCGAGAATATTTTCCTTCAAAACACTACTTTTCCTTAATGCTTTAATGAAATTCATTTAAATTTGGCTGAAACATTATTCGGGTTAGGCAATTAATTCTGAAATTAAAGAGGAAATTACGCCATTCTTAATTCCTTGGTGGATTTGGCTCAAATTTGGTCTTGGATATTATTAGGGAGTCACAATGATATCAACTGACCTTTACGAACCATGGCTGGCCCTCTTGGTTTTTCTTCTTTTTTTTTCTTTTTTCAACAAGATTGCACAGGTATATATGTATTGCACTGGTCGATTTATATAGATACAAAGTTAAAGTATTTCATTTCTTGCTCTTTTGTGGCAAAAATATGACAAGGGTAAACAGTGATTTTCCAATCTTTTGACATCAAATGGCAACATTTTTTGCCTGGGTTCAGGAATTGCTTCATTGTTTATTCTCTAGTTAATTTCAAGACTACTCTAGGTCTTTGTACCACTAATTGATTTTCCCTGAAACTTGATTTTATGTCGATGTCTGCTGGGTTTAATGCTCAGGTAACAGCCAGGGTTACTTTGTAGTAGATTTTGGCTACCTTAAGTGAACAACATGCAGGAGGCCCATCACATGCTATCTAGAGCAATTATATGAAAGTATCTGGTCCAAGGACACACCCATTACATCTGAGACTTTTCCTTTTCTCAGCTTTCTGAAAAACAATCACCAGGCACCTTGGGTCTTCACCTGAGGTTGTGTAGGACAACACACTTCTAATTAAGTTATCACAGCCCCTTACTTACAATCAGAATCACATACTAACCTAACTGTGGACTAGTTACTGGACATTGGATCTTATGCTGTCTCTACCTATATAACATTTGATAAATGAGGATTATGAGTCAAATGCTATGAGAATATTCTAAAACATATATATTCTTAGGGTTATAATTTATACCTTCATGATTTAAAGAACAAACTTCAGGAGTTATGCATATGAAATGAGAATTCATTCAGGGAGGCTTCAGACTTTCATAGACAAGTACCATTTATTGTAATGGAATCTGAAAATAACTGAAGTGGGGACAAGGCTTCTTTTAGGTGAATAATGCCGAAGAGACAATAGGAAATTCCAGATGTTGGTGTGTTAGGGTGAGGCGAAGGTGGGGGGGGAGGGGCTTGTTATTTTTCTTATCAAAAGTAAATAAAATGAGGGTGTAATTTAATAGAAAAAAATGGTATATTAGTATATTAAGCATGGAATGTTGGTCTGAAAACCCATTTGCAATTATATATATACACATGAGTCTGTGTTTGCCAGTGTGGCTGTTACACAGTCTTTACTCATTACCTGTCTCACAAATATACACATAAAATACTTCCAGATTGGACATGACAGGTTCTGTCTATTTTACATATCTCTTCATTTGAGAAGAAGTCTTTATTAAATGCAATGTACAGGTTTGAAGTTTTTCAAGTTACAGAAAGAAATAAGCATTTGAGTATTATTTGTTAGTCATGTTTTCTCGTTATCAGATTGGAACTATTCTTTAATTTCAAGAAAAGTATCGATTTAACATATATTACACACAGTGGTCTATTTGTTATATCAAGGTCGTGGTAAGGGGTCAAAGGTCATGTGATTTTGTTCTTCCAAGTCCAGAAATGATTTAACTACTTCATGGGTGCATATGAAAATCATATAATTTTTGCAAGTAATATTAATTGATGAGACCAATTCTGGTGTAGACACAAATCAGGCTGTACAGTAGTGTTAAATATTTAGTGGTTGAATTAATTAGTTATGTTGATCAAAATCCTCTATTCTTATAGCAAAATTAAAAGTAATCTTTGATACTAGTCATACAGAAAGTGAGTTCCAATTCGAAGCAGAAGTTAAAACGATCCTTCTGTGGTGAAACCTGATAGATCAGAAAAACTTGTTTTGATTGATCAAACACAATATATCATAAAACTCCATTTTCATTGGTCAAACAGAATGTATCCTAGAGACAGTTTTGATTGGTTGAACAGAATGAATTGTCAAGCCCACTTTAATTGGTCTAGCACAACAAAAGCCTTCTTTGATTGGCCAAGCATAATATACCATGGAAACTAGCTTTGATTGGTTAAATATACTTTACAATGCCTGCTTGATTGTTCAAACATAATGTTTTATATAAGAATGATTGAATTAGTCTAATAAGGTATATTTGTCAGATGTTGAGTATCACAAAAGACAGATAGAGTCTTTTATTTTTTTCCACTTTTTTAGGTATTTTCAAAGAGAAAAGATTTATTGTTTCAGAAAAAGCATCAAACACATTTATAGATTATCACCATCATTTCAGACAATTTTCAGAATGAATTACAAAGACCTTTAGTGTAGATGGCCCATTCTGCAAGTCTTCAATGTCAGGTGCATGGTTTCAGAGTCTGTGCAGCAGTGCAAGTTGTCAGTATGATACAATCCTGGTGATGTGGTAGTGTAGGGGTAGAGAGGGGCTACACTTGGATCTCTCAGCATAGGTCAATAGGCCAGTGAATAATACATGGCCGTGATGTAAAACAAGGTGTTTTATGTTCTTAAATTATCCCACTTTTTATTTTCAGGAGAAGACCTCTATTGAAGGTTCCTTGTTTTTGTACCAAAGGTGAGTAGTATTTATTTCGTCTTTTAGATAGCTAGATCCCATTCATTTACTTCTTTTTGCATCCCACTAATTGTTTCATTTGAAGTCAACCTAAACCTCTTTACCTCAAAATAGATTGTTGTAAAGACAGGAAGAGTGGATTATTCCTCTGCCTGATTGATTACTGTGGCATACATAAGGTACCAATTTTCTCTTGCTTGGACCGTTAAACAAATGCTTTTCCATTTTATTTTGTCCATTCATTATCCCTAGAGAGGGTGATAAATAAAGTAACTGCTTTCTTAAAAGTTTGTACAGGTTTTGGTCCTCAATCATGATGCACAATGTGATATTAATCAAATTGAAGAGAACAGCACACCTATCACTATAAATTTCACTTACCCAGTAGACCATTGTCTGATCTGATTTTGGAAAAGGAAATGTTTAAAAAAAAAAAAAATAAAATTGGGCTTGAGATCAAAAATTTTCATTGCCCTGCGATGACCATCATTTCTTCGTCGATGATTTTTTGGCTGTAAATATCTTCTTCAGAACCATGAGACTAAGAACCATGATATTTGTTCTGTTGATCCGGTCTAGGCTTTTCAATATCCATTAAAAGCCACATAAGATTATCTTTTTGCTGTATTTATGCACAAAGTAAAGTGCCAATAAAATAATGACTTTTGGAAAAAAAACCACAAAAATTCAACCCAATGAATATATATGATTTTGCAGTAGTTTTTCGGAATATAATTTTTTATTCTAACGAGGTACATATACCCCTCATGCTTGATGTGAAATTGGTTATACATGGTTGATTATATCCCGACTCTGTTGACTTTTACAACGAACAATGTCCACCAACAATGATTTATTCTAAGCTGTTTCACCCTGTTAAAATCACAAAATTACAGAGGAAATGTTCAGTGTTAAGAAAGGAATGTCAGCCACACATTCACAAGTTGAGTGTGAGTACCATGGCGGAAACATCAATTATGTTCCTGGGTAGAACAATGTGAAGCACAAGTGACTACTGTGTTGGTTTATAGCTTGTTTCGTAGAACTTCTGTCAGAATGAAGCATAATAACGCAGGTCTTTTGTTTAAGATTTTCTCACCAACTCATGATCAATGAGTTGTATAGAGGTATGAAGTGAGCATCACAATACAATTCAATACCAACCTGTTCCTGAGCACAGGTTGTGTCCATGGTACGAGGTATATATCCTCAGGTGTGATACACTAGTTATCCTGCATTGTCAGTGTAACACTCTGGATGTAAATAAACAGGTATGGATACTGAGTTGTCAATGTGATACACTGATTGTGAATTAACAGGTATGAAATACCCAGGTACTGAGTTGTCAGTGTGATACACTGAGTTGTCAATGTGATACACTGAGTTGTCAATGTGATACACTGAGTTGTGAATTAACAGGTATGAAATACTGAGTTGTCAGTGTGATACACTGGTTGTTAAGATGTCAACGTCCTTAGTTGTCAATGTGATAAACTGGCTTATCTGATTTGCCATTGTGACAAACTAGGTGTAAACAGGTATAAATACTGATTTGTCAGTATGACACACTGAGAGTAAACAGGTATAAATACTGATTTGTCAGTATGACACACTGAGTGTAAACAGGTATAATACTGATTTGTCAGTATGACACATTGGGTGTAAACAGGTATAATACCGAGTTGTCAGTGTGATAAACTGGCTAACCTGAATTGTCAACATGACACACTGGCTGTAAACATGTTGACATCTGGAGTTGTCAGTGTGATAAACAGGTTATTCTGAGTTTTTAGTTTCAGTATGACACACTGGCTGTAAGCAGGTACAAAGACAGTTTTGTGTTAGTTTGAAAGGGTGGCTGCATGTGTGAACAGGTACACAGATGGTGTGTAATGTGATGCTGGCTGCAAAACAGGTGCACACCCTTAGATATTACTATACCCTGGCTTTAAAAGATATTGATCCGAAGTTGTCAGTGATGTAATACATAACAGAAAGTGAACAGATGAGGTCATGATCGGTACAATGAGATTACATGTTGTACATATATATATATATATATATATATATAAACTTATGTGTGTGTATGTATATATATATAAATTTACATACAATAGTTCGTTTTTATGTATGTATGTTATACTTAATAAATCACTGTCTAGGTAAAATGTAGATTTCGACACCTGTGAATAGCATTTCATTATTTCAAACACGATTATAGAACAAGGTTTTTGTCTATACTGTTTGTGACACTGATAAGTTGTATAGGAATTTCAACTACAAATAAACTTCAATAAAGATGATATTAGCAATAAATAATAATACAACATATCTGAACGTCACTGTATTATTATGTGAATGAAATGTTTCTTGGTTAAGGCGTTATGCCTCTCTCTACCAGTAATTTACTTGTTATAGCCTAAGGTATCCTTTTGATAATATATCATGTTGTTTCATCTATATTTTATCAGGAAGTTCACTCAGTTCGAATGCAATATTTCTGTTAGACCAACTCTTCTATGCAGCCTTTGGTCTCTGACAGGAAGCAGCTCTGGGTCGAAGCTAGGGGTCACAACCTGTGTAGTGCATTGAATGTTTACCCTTTCAATATCTACTATAGAACACAATTTGTGTAATAAAAGTCACTGGTAAATCAATCAAGTGTATTTAGTTGTGCCAAGTGTCAACATAATGACTTTGTAGATCATAGTATTCATTGAAGGCCTGATCAGGCCAACAGCCACGGTACCAAAGGGATATCCAATAGAACTATCAAGGAAAATGACTAAAAATAACTTGAAAAAGAAATTCCATTAAAAAAAAAAAAATCAATCAAAATTGATTGATGGTTTGTGTTAATATTGTTGGTACGACTGGAGCCAAGTGTAGACAGAACTAGTCCAATCACCAGCCTAAGGACAAATTCCTCCAAGGTTTAAACTGATTGCAGGTCATGATTACAGGAATAGGAAATCAGCTGCAAAAACGGACATATTGTGGAGACAAATTTGATCAGGACTGTCGATGACACTTGAAGCAAGTTGTCATTCATGAACGCTGATTTAATCTGCGGATGTCAAGGTTGGCTAGATGGGGGACACAGGGCTTTGACATGGGGGTTAGGTCTCCGTGGCCAAATGAGATTTTCTTCTTGGTCTAAATAATTCATCACTGAAGCCTGCTGTCTTTGTCCATACCACACCAGGCTTATGTACCTGGTGGTCAAAATACCAAGGGAGATCACCCACAGCATTACACACTCTCTGGCTAAATTAGGTTTGGATCAAAATGTCATCAGCCTCATGAATATTATATTTTGTTTAATATAACTCCATTCTGTTGGATCTGATTTTACTAACGTAGAATAGGAGCTGTGCTTTTCAAATGATTTTTAGATCTTCTGAAAAAACCCAAGAATCAAGTAAATGACCTGGTCTTTCAAAGTGCTGTACTGTAGTGTTATGTTTTCCATCAGGTCATATCTATATTTCTAGAACCATGCTTGTACCAAAAAGAAACACGAAAACCATTCTGATCACTTGGATCAGGTTTTTACAACAACAGAAATCAAATTTACAGTAACAGAAACAATATTTATAAGTTTCTTGAAATCAAACCTGTACACAGCTGTTTCAGTTTCAGTATAAACATGGTATACCATTGTCCAGGATTAAGGCCAGCTTTTTACTTGAGTCATATATAGGTCCCTGATAATTGTAAGATAGACACTGTACACAGCTGTTTCAGTTTCAGTATAAACATGGTATACCATTGTCCAAGATGAAGGCCACCTTTTTACTTGAGCCATTTATAGGTCCCTGAACATATTGTAAGATAGACACTGCGTTTATTTAAATGAATGGTGTCCACTAGCAACAGTATGATGATAAGACATATTACACAGCTATCATTTGTATACAGTATGATGAGAAGACATATTACACAGCTATAATTTGTGTACTTCTACAGATAGTTAGGATTCCAGTAGCTGTACCATGACTCCAGTCTATTCCATTCCATCCTTGTTGAAATGCTCAATATAAAGAGAAGAAAATGTGACAGCTCTAGAGTTCTGTAGAAGTATAAAGAATTGACCATACAAACTAATGACTACATGATACACTCTGTTGACTATGATAGAAAGCTGAGAGGTGCCAGACAGCTGGCTTCAATTGCTCCATTACCAATTGACAGAGCTCTGGAGTGAAACTGGTAAAGGTTGGGATCCTTGGGGTCACTGATGAGTCCAGTACAAGTGTAGGTTTTGAAGATAAGGAGCCTGTCTCTGACATACAAATGTGTACCTTTATATTCCTGACACTATACTTAGCGGTATTTCTGACATGGAAACATTTAGAAGTAGGTTGTGTTGTCTCTTGTGTATTAATCTACTGATAAATCCATTCTTGTTTCTTGGATTTCATACATTGTTTTTCTCAAAGTACATTTATTTGATTCCAGGAAATGTCAAAACACTGACTTTGTTTTATTGTTTAAAGGGATACTCTGCACAATTTCGGATTGGGATGCTTTTGAAGAAATCTGTACAAAATCAGCTATATATGTTTTCCACACTCCTCATCAAACATGATATTTAACTTTTTGGAAATTCTATATAGATCTAGATAAATTGATTTACAAACTTTCACGTAGCCTTGATTCCGTTATCATAGGTGTGCTTTATTATAAGCTGAACAGAATAAACATTTGTGTAAGTTATAAAAATCAACAGAAAATAAGCCTGATTAAGTAAGAAAATCCCAGCAGAAATTTAAGTGAACAGCATACACATACACAGGAGAGATATTTTGATGCTAACAATAGTTTTAAAAGTCATTAGAATGATTTCTTAAAATGTACAGAACAGACAGAAAATTTGCAATGGCTGTAATATTCCCTTAAACCGCGAAGAAAACAAAATTAAAATAAAAGAAAAAATAGCCGGGGTCATTTTAAAAGTTTTTAAAAATTCAAAGTCACCTTGTATCTATTGGCCATGG